AAAACACATCACAAGGAGGTTCCCATGCACATCAAAAACCACAACTATAGATAAGTTAGAGTATTGAGCTCATGTGGTTATTTCACTAGATATTGTAATAAGAAGTTCGAATATCGAAATCACAGGCATAGACGAATAAAAGAGTTCACATAAACGTTTTTTATGGGAAATTAAATTAAAATAAATAGTTGATCGAACGTTATAAATGTTATAACACCAAACGTTAATCACGTTTTATGGGAAATTAAATTAAATTAAAATGAAATGAATAGTAATCAAAAACCACATCCTGGGCATTTGCGTCAATAATTGTGTCACGGCCTGGAGATAACGCACACACACTCATAATTAACAGGAAATTATCTTATTTAAAATATTTTATTATCTTATTCATTTACACACACACATTTGGGATTTTACACACACACATACAATATCACATATAAAAGGGACCCGAAAACAAGGGCAAATCAGACGAGTCTTGTCTATGCTGCACTGAGCACCTTCACGTCAGTGTACGTTATGGTCTGGACTTAGAAATATTTCCAATTATTTTATAAGTTTAATTGTTAGGACTTAAATAATTTCTATCACTAGAATATTACAAAATTTGTAGTTAGAATAATTTTTATAAGTTAAATAAATTTAATTATTTCAAAAAGAAGTCTTATTTATTCCTGGCTACACTTCCACTCAAGCGTTGACTGAGACGTTGTAACTGAATTAACGGATCAAACGGTTGGCACGTAACAAAAATTGGCGCAGTCGGTAGGATATTCAATAGAAGGCAATTCCACATCGGAACCATCGAGGAGCTGAACAACTTGCAGTCCTTCAACTTCTCAACTTCCATTGAATAGCTGATGCTCCACCGGATCATTCAGTCAACAACATGTCTTCAATCAATAATTGTTTGTAAGCATATATTTTGTAATAACCATATTATTTTAAGATACAATTTTATAAAAGAAACGAAAACATTCTATGTTCATAAAAAAACCATTGACACCTAAAAATTCTAACTAAATACCCACATTATTATTGAGAATTATTATTGAATTATTATTGAGTTATTATTGAATTATTGAATTATTAAAGGGGATCCCGAGATTATATTGAGATTATATTGAAATTATATTGTGATTATATTGAAGTTATATTGAGTTTATATTGAAGTTATATTGAGAATTATTATTGTGAAATTTATTGAGTTTATCTGGCCAGAGACTCAATACGGTAGGGAAAAATATTATTTTGTTGGAGTTATTATAAAAAGGAATAATATTAAAAATTATTTAAAGAGATTATTATTGAGATTATTATTGAAGATTTATTATTGAAAGAATTTATTGAGATTATTAATGTTGAATTATTGAGATTATTATTATTGAATTATTGAGAATTAAAAGTTAATGGGTAAAGAATTTTTATGAGTAAGCATAGCAGTCCGGACTCGTCTCCATCGAAAGTAGCTAATTCGGTGTATAGGGAAAAAAGTGAAAGTGAAGGTAGTGTGGAAGATCTTGACAAAAGTTTTGTAAAAGAGGAAAATATTGGTATTAATATTTGGCTAGTATTTATGCATTATTTTTGAGAATTATTTAAGAATTTATATCCTTATTTAAAATGTATATTCTACCATTCCTCTTCTGATTCGTAGGGTTCTAATGTTTCCATTCTACTTATGTAATCCTCCCATGTTTCCATTTTGCTTATGTAATCTTCCCATTCCTCTTTCAACCTTCCTCTTTCGGTATTCATATCACTTGGATATGAATCCTCAAACCATTTAATTTTTACATATGCCTCTTTTATCAATTTTCCCTAACTTCATCAGTGTCGTCATAAAATATCTCCGGAGGGCTTTGGTAGTGTATAATTGTTGCCGTTCCTACTTCTTTTTTACTTTTTCTGTAATAATTTTTTTTATTATTATTTACTATAACTTATTATTTTATTTGTTTGCTATATATATTACAGTTTTTTTTTTTTTTTTTTTTTTTTTTTTT